GTTGTTTAGGCTCAGACTTCCAGCAGCAAATGGACATTGGGGTTTAAAAGGTGGGAATGCCAACCCCTGTGGGCACTGAGCACCAAACCCCTTCCCTGACCCCCCCATGGGGGTGTCACCCCACTGAGACACAACCAGAGGAGGGTTCAAAGGTAGAAACTAAGGGGGGAAAGCAAGAAGCAGAAAGGTTGAAGATTCCGATATAAAGAGCCAAGGATTTGGGATAAACATTCCACAGGGACAGACGGTGAGGCTGAACCTCAGAAAAACCTCTGGACCATGTGGACAATTCCAGGGTGAAAAAGTCTCCCTGGAGACATGGAGGAAGCCACTGCTTGAGCAGATTTAAAAGCAAAGCTGTCCCTGATGGATAATCCTATAGGAGCTGGGAGCAGGGGCTGGAGAGAGCTGCCCCCCTTTAACCTCTTGTTCCATCATGGAATTTGGGGAGCTAATGCAGCAGCAAGGAAGCCAAAGGCACATTGCAGCCCCTTTTTCTCCTTCCTACAGGTGTCTGGGTTTCTACTCTATTTTAGCTCCTGCTCTTGTCTTTGCAGTGATCATTAAATACAACTGGGAAAGCAATTTTCCATTACAATGCTTGTAATGATCTTCTAATGAATTATTCACTCTGCTTGAGAAAAGACACCATTTTAATGTACCACTGGTAGCTCAGAGGTAAAAATAAAGATGATTCAGTGCAGACAGGTAGGACAGGCTGAAATCTGAGTGGACAAAATGGGGTGGGACAACAAATCAGTCAGGCAGCACCTCAAATAGCAGGGCAGGGGTTTGCCTTGGGTTGGAATTCAGTGGCATCACAAAAGAATTCCGTGTATAAAATCCCACCCCAGCAAATGAGGCTGCTCAAAAATTAAATCTGGATTTTTCTGGGTATATAAAATTCTCCAATTGATTTTGGATTACCCAGACCCACCCCCAGTGCTGATCCATGTGCTGCTGCCTTTTCCAAGCTCTACAGGACCTGCAGCTTCCCAATGGGTTTTAAGCCCTTCCTGCCCTGCTCCGAAGCTGTTCCTGAGCAGGTTGGTGGTGCCTCACCTCTAAACAGGAATCAGGCTGAAGATCAGGATTTAAGATCTCTACTTATGAGCATTTGGGTCTTGAAATCTCTTTTCAGAGATCCCTAAATTCCCTCAGTCCTACAGCTCCTCTCCCAAGCACCTGGAGCAGTGCCCATGGCAGGCAGTGCCCTCCTGCAGCTCCCTGGGCAAACAGCTTTTCCTTCCATCTCTAGGCAGCTATTTCTTCCTATTTTTATACCAGCTACCCCAGGACTCTCCAGCACCTCCAGGACCACCAACCTGCAGCACAGGCACCAATTCTGTACCCCAAATTCTGGGACTACTGTGGCTCCAAATGCCAGGAACTCTCCACAGGTGTAACCTTTCCTCAGGAAGCAGCAGCAGCTCAGATTTTTTAGGCTGTATTGTTTTTCCAGAGGCCCTGGAGCAGATGCTGCCAGCTGAGGATGCTGCTGCAGCACAGCAGGATCAGGATCAGGATCAGGATCAGGATCAGGATCCCAGCAGCTCTTTGCTGAGATCTGCCAAGCAGGAATATTTTGGGGGTTACTTTTAGCACCAAGAGGGTGGCTGGAAATAACTGCTCACATGGGCTCTGGACACTCCTGGCAATGGTTTCACCTCACACTTGAGGAGAGCAGCCCAGCCCTCAGTCACCCACTGCACGTGGGGGGGCACCCAGAACCCTCATCCCCCCCAAAACCTGGAGGGCATCCCTGTCTCCCCACCCCCAGCACCCCTCTGTCCTCCTCTGGCAGGACCAGCAGCAGGACACGGGGTCTGGCCCTGCCAGGGCTGCTCCCAGGGCGCTCCAGGCAGCAGGAGATGCCCTTGGCTTCCAAGATCAGACACAGCCTGCCCGGAGAGCTGAGCCCAAGCAGCAGCTCTGGATCTCCACAAAGCCCTCCTGGAGCCTGCAGAGCTTTCCCCAGCAGTGCCAGGCACCACCTCGAGCAGTCCCCGTGCAGGATGTGCCTCCAGGCATGGTCACCTTGACCTGCTGGTGGGATCCCATGGTTTTCCATCATGCTGTGACATGAGGGTTTTACTTCAAAGATAACATTATCAGACCTGAGAAAACCTGAGCATTTCTGTGCAGAAATATTTGAACCACCAAAGCTGTTTCAGGAGAGTGTTTTGGGGCACTTGCCCGTGGTGCTGCTGGGAGGGGATCTCCTGTGAGCCACCAACCCAGGGTGGTTCAGGCTCTCCTGCACCAGGGGCACTAAATGCTCTAGAATTCAAGTTTTTAAGAAGTGAAGTGAAAACTCAGGACAAGGTGCCTTGGCTGTGCTGATGCCTAAAATCAGCACTTAAAAGAAAACCCCTGAAGACTCAATTTGTGAGTTTTACTATTATTCCTTTTATTTATTATGACGTTGGATGCACGAGAATCTTAATTTCTTCCAAAGCCTGACTCCAGAGCTACCAAAGCCTTTTGCTTTTATTAATTACCTAATTAACAACTCAAAGCATTACCTAATTAAAAATTCAAAGCACTACCTAGTACTGTTACACCCTTCCAAAACCTGTCCCTCCTTTAGTACCACCCTCGCCTCATCTCCTGAATTTGAGTCAGAGGTCCCAAAAACCCCTCATCTTCATCTTCTTCATCTTCATCCTCATCTCCTATGACCCTTCTGGATGGGTTTCAAGGCTCCTGAGCAGCTTTGACTACTTATACCAAGTGTTGTGTCTCATTGTCAGTACATTTTACAGACACCCTTGTCAGTCAAGATCCTTAACAAAGAATGTTAAACAGCATTTTTAGGAATTCTGGGAATACTGGCAAGCTGAAGGTGCTAGCAAGGTCTCCTAAAAGTTATTTCCCATAGATTTGAAGGCCTCAGTACCTCCAGGGGCAGGTTCCAGGTGATGTAGAACTGTCTTCCAAACCCATCCCTCCTTTAGTACCACCCTTGACACGCCTCCCAAATTTGAGTCAGAGGTCCCAAGACCCCTCATCTTCATCTTCTTCATCTTCCTCCTCATCTCCTATGACCCTTCTGGATGGGTTTCAAGGCTCCTGAGCAACTTTGACTACTTGTACCAAGTGTTGTGTCTCATTGTCAGTACATTTTACAGACACCTGGTCTGTCACGATCCTTAACAAAGGATGTTAAACAGCATTTTTAGGAATTCTGGGAATACTGGCAAGCTGAAGGTGTTAGCAAGCTATCCTAAAAGTTATTTCCCATAGATTTGAAAGCCTCAGTACCTCCAGGGGCAGGTTCCAGGCGATGTAGACGTGCCACTTGTAGTCGTCCATCCACACCTCGGCCACGCGCAGCGCGTTGCGCTTGGTGTAGAACCCGATGTTGTTGTTGTAGGGCTTCTTCTTGCGCTCGATGTGGGCCACCCTGGAGCAGGGCAGGACCTCCATGCTGCCCCCACACAGCCACACCTGCAACACAACCCACAGGACCGTCAGCAGCACGCCCTGGGCAGGGGAAAGGGGCAGAAGTGGGGGGGGTTGAGCAGAGCTGGGAAGGGGAAACCCATGGCCACGTTTGGCCTTTGCTCACCAGGGGGAATCTGTCCCCTCTCCATGGCACTGGGGTTGGAAATAGATGAGCTTTAAGGTCCCTTCCAACCCAAACCACTCTATACTTTACAGGATTACAGAATATGCTGGAAGGATCATCATCAGAATATGCCCAAGGATCATTGAGGATAAAAAGGGAGAAAAGGAATGCTAAAAGAAAAAGAAAGAATTAATTTTTTGTAGTGTGTTATAAACCCTCTCCTCCCACTTCCATTCCCTGCTGGAATGGAGGTGGGCTGAGATGGTCAGGTCCATTCAAAAATCATATTTTAAGGAGATGGCACATTAATACCAAGATCTGGTATATCATGAATAGCCTGATGTGGCTGCTTGGCCCTGATCCTCTGGGAAAGGTTTTCCAGAGGAAAGAAACCTACAGGTACAGCAACAAAAGTCCCTTCTCTGTTTCAGCAGGATATGGAGTCTCCTTTGCTTTTTCCTAGAGGTTTCCAAGAGAATTTATTAGTTCAGGATGAAGCTGTGTTGGGATTTCCAGCAGGATCACAGAATCACAAAATGTGCTGAGCTGGGAGGGACCCCCAAGGATCATCAGTCCAACCCTCAGCCCTGCACAGGCCCAGCCCCAAGAGTCACCCCCTGTGCCCCAGAGGATCAGCCAAACCCTCCCTGAGCTCTGGCAGCCTTGGGGCTGTGCCCACTGCCCTGGGGAGCCTGGGCAGTGCCCAACCAGCCTCTGGGGGAAGAACCTTTGGCTGAGATCCAACCTGAGCCTGCCCTGACACAGCTCCAGCCATTCCCTGGCTGCTGTCACACCGTGTAGGATCCAGAGCTGAGTTTACAGTGATGCTGCTCCCAAATAAAAAGGATTAAGCAACTGGAACAGTTCAAACCATTGCAAGATCTCCTCCTGCAGAAGGGATGAGTCAGTGGAACATATGGCAGGGACAGATTTCTCCCACTTGAAAACATTTGTTCATTATTGTTCTTTCACGTGCTCTTTAAAATTCCCTTAAATCACACTTTGCAAGGTATCAAATCTTTTAAGATCTTCTTTTTACCTCACAGAAAAGGGAATTTGCAGGAAGACTTGCCACACCTGGGTTCTTCCCTCCCTGTTTGTCACCACTGAGAAGTTATTTACCTTACAGCCAGGTCTGCAGGACACCAGGAAACCATTCCAAACACACATGCCAAGCAGGCCTAACAATGCCAGTGTTCCCTATTCTGCAGCCTGCTCTGCATTAGCATTTTGCACAGTTATTATAACACCCAGTGTTTCTGGGATCTCTTCCAGGCTCACCACCTTTCCTCCCATCTGTGCTCCCGGATTTTTACCGGCCCTGCTCTGTTGGCTCTTCCAGCAGCACCAGGACCCTCCTGCCTGGATCAGCTGCCCCGGGGGCACCTCTGAGGGGGAGTTTTAGCCCCCCCCAGTGCAGGGCACGTGCATGTCCCAAGCCCAGGTGACCCAAACAAGGACACCTTCGCTGGTGCTCTGCCTGCTGTTCTCTCTCCTGCTGCAGGAGGAGCCCACACCAAAAATAAGCTCCATTTTATTAGTTTGTGCATGAACGTGAAGCAGAAAAACCCCATCCTGCTCCTGCTCTGCTGTTTGACCTCTCAGAAGACTTTTAAATACAATTTCCTGCCTGCAGACTGAAATCAGAGCTGAGCTCTGAGAGGGTCATCATCCCTCCCATCCTTCCACACCCCACCTCTGCCCAGCCAAGCCCTCCAGGTCTGCTCCAAGATTTGCAACAGAGCAAACCAGACTGGAACAAAGCAGTTCTAAAGGAAAAAAATATATATATATTTATAAAGTTTTATTCCCAAGGCAGTAGAGAGGAACTGCCTGTGTTTCTTGCCTGCTCAGTTCTTTAATTTCTCAACCTCCTGGTGAAATCACAACATTGAGTTCTGCCCTTGGGTGCTCCCAAAGGTGCTGGGTTCAACCACAACACTGAATAAACCTGCCAGTCCTGGGTGACCTCAGCACCACCTGGTTCTGTAGGTTTGGGGATTTGTTTGGTTTTATCCTGATTTGAGGTCAGAAGAATTATTTTAAAACTGTAAAATTAATTAAAATGTCATTTTCCAGCAGCCTGCCTCCAGTCACACAGTCCCACTGTTGTTCTTCTGTGCTTTAGTTAAGTAATTCGTGTCAACTTTCTTAAATTTCTGGAATATCTGTAGAAACTACCTGGAAATTCACCGACTGGAGTAACCTGAGTGCCTGTGTACACATCCATGAGTCAGTTCCAGAGAGATCAATACAAATTAAATCCAAAAATTACACAAGGAAAGACCAGACTTCTATCTGCCTGACCTGTCAGCATAAATTTTAAAAAAAATCTGGTTTTACGAGGCATTTCTGAAGAGTTCTGCTGGTTTATCCCTGCACTAACCATGACTGAGCCCCAGAGGAGCAGAAGGACTCAGTGGATCTCCATCCTCACATGCCCTGATGTCCCAGCCTGTAGCTCTCAGACCCTGAGGGCAGAAGGTTCTCTGGGAACCCTCATTTATGTCCCTATTTGTCCCACAAAAGACCTGTAACACAGAGATTATCTTCCTGTTAAGGAACCCTACTGGATTTTTCATGTTCATGGCAAATAAACCCACAGTCCCTTCATTTGCTGCAAAGAACAGCATTAACAGGACAATCAGCCTGGAGTTTTTCTAATCCTTTGAAGAATTATCTCCTACTAGGTGGTTAATCAAGAAATTGGGAAATCAAGAACCAGAACACCAAAACTAATAAAAGAAATAGGTGTTGTCAAATTAATTCATGTTTAGCCTATTTAACAAGGCAGAGTCTTTATATTGCATCCTGCAAAGGATGAAATCAGAATCACAGGATGGTTTGGGTTGGAAGGGACCTTAAGGATCATCTCATTCCCACCCCCTGCCCTGGGCAGGGACACCTTCCACTAGCCCAGGTTGCTCCAACCTGGCCTGGGACATTTGCAGGGATGGGGCAGCTTCTCTGGGCAACCTGTGCCAGGGCCTCCCCACCCTCCCAGCCAAGAATTCCTTCCCAATATCCCATCTAGCCCTGTTTTCTTTCAGTATGAAGCCATTCCCCCTTGTCCTGTCACTCCATGTCCTTGTCCCAAGTCCCTCTCCATGGCTGGCCCCTAAAGGCACATTCAAATATGATATTTATTTTAAATTTGATATAGGTTAAATATGATATAGGTTAAACATGATGAGCAAGTCTCAAGTTTCCCCCTTGTTTTCTGACATTCAGATTCCCACATGACCATTAACTTGCCATTCATTCACCCAGAAACTGATGCAGAATTAAAAATAGAATCATCCCCCTCCAGTGAATGAGGGTGACTCAATAATGTCTCCATCACTCCACACACAGGAGGGATCAAAACCCATGGAAAGAGGCTGGCATTTATAAATAACCAGCTAACACTGAATTCTAGTGAAGAAATCCCAGGGAAACAAACAGAAAACAAATCCATCACCCAGAGATCTTTGATGTGTTTTGCAGAAAGCTGCTGGGTGAGACACCTGCAATTATTTTCCAAGCAAAATGTCCTAAGAATTCAACGTGGAAAAGGAACCATTTGTCTCAAGCAGTGAAATGTCCGAGTACAGCTGGCACTGCACTGACAATCCACTTTCTAGAAGCTTCTGCAGATGTGAAAAGGAGCCCTGGGGGGATGTTTTTGCTCTCTGCAACTCCCTGAAAGGAGTTTTGAGACAGGTGGGGGTCGGGCTCTGCTCCAGGGAACAAGGGACAGGAGGAGAGGGAACGGCCTCCAGCTGTGCCAGGGGAGGGTCAGGTTGGACATCAGGAGGAATTTCTCCATGGAAAGGGTGGTCAGGCACTGGCAGGGGCTGCCCAGGGAGGTGGTGGAGTCCCCATCCCTGGAGGTGTCCAAGGAAGGACTGGAGGTGGCTCTCAGTGCTCTGGGCTGGGGGACAAGGTGGCCACTGGGCACAGGGTGGACTCGGTGGGCTGGGAGGGCTTTTCCAACCCTAATGGTTTTATGACTGTGATTCCATGATTCCAGGAGGTGGGTTTGGATGCTCAGATGCTGCTGAGCACAAGGGGCTGCTGCCTTGGCCCCCACCTCAATCCTTCCAGCAGGTCAGAGCTGCTTCCTGCACCCTGTGCTGTCCCTTCTGCCCACCCCTGGGGCTCTCCTGGGTGCAGGGGAGCAGCACTGGAGTCCAACCAGCACCACTGAGCAGCACAGGACACCCACAGGGGAAGGCACAGCCACAGCTCTAACAAAAGAGCAGGGAAAAACCTGGAAAATACAGGTTTAATGCATAAGTATTAAGAAAACTTGGTCCCCTCCCCAGGCTCCTGCAGGCAGTGGAGCAGTGCTGTGGTGCCCACTGCCAGGGAGGGGAAGACACAGCAAACAGTGAGGCAGGAGCTGCTTCCCCTGGGATGGCAGCAGAACTCAAACATCCCCCTTCTCCTCACTGCAAGCCCTGCAAGGGAACTCAGATTTTGCACAAGTAAAGATGATAGTGGGGAAAAGGAATTCTGCAAGAGCAGAGGGGAAAATGGGGCTGGTGCCTCCTCCTCCTCCAGCCAGAGCAGTGCCAGGGTGGTGTCCTGTCCCAGCACCCCCAGGGGGAAACCAGAGTGTTGGCACCTGGACTCTGTAGAACAAGAATTATAACAACAATTATAATATAATAGTTATTGTTGCTATTATTACTGGAAGAAGAAGAAGAGGAGGAGGAGGAGGAGAAGCAGAAGAGGAACAGGAAGAGGAAGCAGAGGAAACAGAAGAAGCAGAAGCAGCAGAAGATGTAGAAGAAGAAGTAGAAGAAAGGAGGAGAAGGAGAAAGAGGAGAAGGAGAAAGAAGGAGGAAAAGGAGAAGGAGAAGGAGAAGGAGAAGGAGAAGGAGAAGGAGAAGGA